TTATTTAAAGCCTATGTTTATTAAATTTAAATATTATCTGGTATGTTTAATGTTTTTGTTAGTGTGACAGATAAAACATGTTATTACAGAGCTTTAAAAGAAAATTTTGATCATCATAAAAAAGCAGGAGATTGTTAAAGCATACAAGGATATGAATGTTGAACATACATGGATCTGAAGCCTGTAGATTTTGATGATGATTCAAGAACAAAGGAAGTAAAGATTTGAAGACTTGTAATATAATGTAATAACTCTGTTTTGATGATTTTAAGTCTATAATATTAGAGTCTAAGATAGTCAGCACATAGTCTACTCTTTAGAAGCTTCAAAAACTCATTTTTATCAAAAATACACTGGATTAATCGATTAAAAGGCAGGATAATAGATTATTACAGAGAGAAAAACCATTTTCTGTATCAGCTCTCTGGAATAATCGATTAACACTCCTGTTAATCGATTAACAAGGTTGTTAATAGATTAACAGGGAAATTAATCGATTAAAACGCATGGTTATGGGTTCCTGTTGATTTTGGCTCTGTAATAATCGATTAACATTCAAGATAATCGATTATTTCAGTTAGATATGCATTTTAAATTTCAAAATTGGACCAAGTTTCGAAAACCCTAGTCCCAATTCACCAGGTTTCGAAAATCCCCAATTCCCAAACCCTAATTTGTCTACTTAAGGTTCTCTAAGGCTCTCTGCAAAGTAAACAACCTTTTTCAAACAAAAGTTGAGAGTTGTGACTGTTAGAGAACTGTTTATTGGAGGAAAAAGGGGCTTTTGGAACCTAGTGTGGACTAGAAGCGATAAGAATCACTAAGTAGGTTTTCTTGGTGGATTGTGTGTTGTGCCATCTCTAGGGAAAGTTGTTCTTCATCTCTTGTGTGACTCAAGAGAGGTGTTTTCATTACCTTATCTTTTCAATTGTTATCTGTTTGTAAAACTTGATTATAGTGACAACGTTAATCATCTGTTTGAGTGATTAGCAACTGTACGTAGGGTCTTTTGATCTGAACCAGTATAAATCTTCTGTGTAAGACTCTATCCTTACTCTATTTACGTTTACACAACATTTTAATCGGTAAAATTTGGGAAAAATTTTAAAACCCTAATTTTTGTTAAGAAACCAATTTACCCCCCCTCTTGGTTTTTGTCCGGATACGCAAACATTCCGCTGCGCGATTCTAACAATTTTTTTTCTCTTATAATATTTTTTATGATTATCAATGAAACAGGGGGAGATTTTTTGATGAATTAAAATCTGTGTGAAATTCATTTCTATCTCTAAATTAAACAAAGGGAGTTAGGAGAAGTGTTTGCTCATATGAGTTAAGGGGAGTCTTGTTATTAATATATCCAGGGGGAGATTAAGAGACTCTGACACTTGATACAAATATTGTTAATCTGTGCTAATCTTGAGTTGACTATATAGAGTCAAACATTTTAATTCATTTCAGGTGTTTCCTTGATCATCATCAAAAAGGGGGAGATTGAAAGCAATGAGGGGGAGATTGATGGAAATGTCCCTACATTCCCAAGAGATGATTTTGATGATGATTCAAGTCAACTACATTCAAGTCAACACCATTCAAGATGAATTAAGGACAAGCTGAATTTAAGATGTTGGTAAAAATGTGAAACTTTTCCCTACATGCCAAAGATATATTTTTGATAAAGATGATGATTCAAGCAAGCCCAAGATGATTCCTGAAGACTAGATAGAGTCTTATAATACTGGATATGGAGGTTCAAGTTGATGAAGTAATATTATGCATAAGACTCCAAAGCACAAGTGTGATAAAATTCATAACGTAATATTTTTCACTGTCATAATCAATTATGATGCATCAGAATGGAAAAAATGATTTTATTTGTCATAATTGATTATACTGGTAACATAATCAATTATGACAATTCAAATTTGAAAAATATATCTGTTTTGAAGAATAAATATTTTTGAATATATTCTGATTTTTATTCACAAAAATATTAATATCCAACGACCATTTTCTAATGCTATTTTTCTATTTAATTAAGTTTTGATGAAAAATAAAAAACACACAATTACGTAATTCGAAAATACAATTTACATTCAATCAGCTTTGAGAAAATAATTCTGAACAAGACAACAAAGATATTTTACACCTTCTGAGAAAACCCTCTTCTCTACCGCTTTCCTTCGTGCTTTCATTGTTAATCACACTTGTTCTTGGAGATTGACATTCTACAGACTTCTACAATTTGTTGTCTCCATTACCCAGGTGTGACTGTTCTTATTTTTATTACCTTCATCCTTTTTGTATTGGTGGAAAATGAGGTGTTTTTCATCCTTAGTATGATTCTAGGGAGGTGTTCATCCTTAGTGAGATTCTAAGGAGGTGTTTTCATCCTTTGATTTGTTCAAAGGAGGTTTTCATCCCTAATGTGATTCTAGGGAGGTGTTCATCCTTAGTGAGATTCTAAGGAGGTGTTTTCCATCCTTTGATTTGTTCAGAGGAGGTGTTCATCCCTAGTGGGATTCTAGGGAGTTGTTCATCCTTAATGAGTTTCTAAGGAGGTGATTATCTTTTTAATTAGTTTACTTTTTACTGGTTCTTCTGCTGAGTTGATTGTAATTTCTAAACTGAATTTGAAAGATAGTGAATTGGGAGTCACTCTTGTGTTAAGAGTTGACTGGGAACTGGATATATGGTTGGCTATAATACCCGAACCAGTATAAATAATTGTGTGCTCTTCTCTTTCCCTTATCTCTTTCTCTTTTCCTGATTATATTATCACTTCCACTTTATCTGTGTTCAAACAAATTATTGACTCACAAATACATTTTTAATTTGATATCTATTTTAATTTGTGCATCTATTCACCCCCCTCTAGATGCCATTTGTCTAACAGTATGATCTCTCAGTCAAGCGTCAAAGTTGAGTTTAGAGGTTTGACACTTGAAATTTGTGAAGATTTAGGACTAAAATTTCTTACAAGATCTTGGATAACCATCAACCTAACCTATGATATTATATTGTGATAACAAAGTTGTTTATGATATTGCTCACAATTCATCACAACATGATCAAACAAAACATGTTGAAGTGGATAAATTTTTTATAAAAAAAAAGTTAGAAGAAAAAGTTATAGAATTTCCTATAATTCGTTAAGAAGATCAATTAGTTGATGTCTTAACAAAGATCATATTAAATAAAATATTATCAAGATATCTTATTAAGTTTAACATATAAGATTTATATTCACTAATTTGAAGGAGAGTGTGAGATTTACTTCCTTTTTATTCTCTTTACAAAATATCATTATACATATATATTGTATGCTATTTTATTAAAGTTTTATATAATTGTAAAATATTTTAGTTTCCTAATAACCTAATTAAACATACATATTTTGTATTTTATAAATAATGTATATCTATTTTATTTCATATAAAAAAATGAATATATTTCAATTTATATTTTTCAAGTTTATTTTATTTCTAATTTATTTTTCTTAAGTTTTGTTATATCATATTTTTTTAGATTTTATTATTCTTATTTGTCATATATCAAATTTTATCTTAACAAAATAATTATATTTTAAAAAATTAAAAATTGATAATATTATTTTGTACTAATTAAATAATAATTAATTTATTAAATGTTTTCTAATAAATTATATATTTTATATTTATTAATATTGTAAATTTATTTAAAAAATAATTAACTTATATATGTAATCAATATATTTAAATATAATATAATAATAATAATATAAAAATTTATATTTATATAAAGAAAACAATTTTTTTTAAATATATATATTTAATATAAATATAATAAATTAAAACATATACTTAATTAATAATAATTATTTAAAAATTATAATTATTTATATATAAATATATAAAAATAATTTATTATAAATATATTTTTTAAAATAATATGTAGTAATAATTATCATAAAATTTAAAATAAAAAAAATAGAATAAAGACTTAATTTTAAGCACCACAAAAATGAGAATAAGAAATTCTGAAACGAGTCAGGAAGACAAAACTTACCGCGTCGCATCCTTTGTCACACCTACCAACCTCTATGTATATTTTCGAAAAAAAAAAAAAAAAAACTTAGAAATATAAATAGCATATAACTGTTATTGCTACCTACCTACCTCTAAAGGAAATTTATGAGCCACAGATTCCCTTTATATTATGGGCATCCCTGTATCTGTCGGTGGTCCAATGCTGTGGCACGGACCACGGTTTAAACGTGCTCTACACCTCAACCTATCACACCCTTCTAAATCATATAAAATCCTGAATGAAGTACAAGTGATTGATGCTATAATTTTTTAATAATTTTTAAACACTTCATTAAAGTTATTAAATAAAATTTTTGACATTTTGAAAAATAGATATTATAAGGTTGCTAGTAAAGTAATTATATTTTATTTATAATTTAGCAATAACATATAAATTGCTATTCAAAACAATAAAATTGAAAGAAAATATAATGTTAGATGAGGAATAACTCTGTAAATATGCATTGTTATTTTTAGAAAATGTTAATTTCATTGATGATATTAAATATGGTAAATGTAATATCTTCTTGAATATTTTTTAAATTATTTCCAGGAAACAAAATATTTGTTAATAGAATTAGAAATTAAGAAAAACAATGAATATATTAAATATATTATGCGTAAATTAATTTATAGAAATTATTTCATAAAATTTATCTAATTTTTTAATTATATATAAACTTTCCTTGTAGATAATTGAGAGAATTAGCAATGAGAAATTGATACTTCACATTGAATTTTCCTTTAACAAAGAGAAAAAGGAGAGAAAACAAAAAGAAATTATTGAGCAAGAATCAAACAAAAGGGCTAATCTTGTCTCATGACAAATGTCATAAATAAAATGGAATTTAGTATAATTCAAATAATTGAAAATAATGTGAAAGTGGGGCCCACGCAAATACACCAATCTTGGGGGTATTTTGGGTAATCTACATGATCCTCTGGCTCTCCTTAACTGTCTCAAACTCATCGTTGATAATATTTTCATACAGAACCGTGTGTGTATTTATATACACACAAAGTGTAGAGTCCAAATCTAAATCTGGGAACTACAATTTTCCATCTCTTCTTTGTCTGAAGATTTTCTCTTTCTTGCCTTCGTCTTTTCTCCTGCTTTGCTTCACCGGTCATCAATTTGTAAGTTGTTTTTCTCATTCCTCTGTTTTCCCCTGTTTCTCTCTCTAGTAGTGTATCATCTGGGTGTGCCACCCCCATTTGGTGTTTCGTAATTTGGCTGCGTAAAAAATTGAAATTTGGGCTAATGTGCGATTTTTATGTGATGCTCCTTTCTGTTGGATCTGTGATCATTAGAGGGTACTTCTCTTTGCTGATTGTGTTGGGTCTTGATCCACGTGATCGTTTCAGTTTAATCGTTTGGAATAATCAGATCTGTGCTAGATTTGTGATTCTGAAGCTAGGGTAATTGGTTCTGTGAAAATTTCGTTGCATTTCATAGCGTTAGTGTGGAATCTGAGTCATGATTTTTTTTTTAATCTCTTTTTTAACATTATTTTTTTATTAATTTATTTACGTTTACAGTTATTGCTAAGGTAGTGTGGGAGCAGAGAGGAAAATTCTTTCTTTAACTATTTCCTTGTTTGTTTTTTCCTGGATGTTGGTATAATCACTGCAGAATTATGATTGTTATTATTATACTTATTATAATAATAATTCCCTTGTCTGTTTTGTTTTTGTATTTTTCATCTCAACGAGCTGGATCAAGAAAATATGTTCCCACATTCCCTTGCTGTTTTGTTTTACTCTTTTTATTGGACTCGTAGTTTGAGCTTTGCTGCTATAGTCTCTGGATCATTTCATTTACCATCAATGGATTTATTTAACCTTGCACACAAGGCAGGGAGGTTTCAAATTATCATCTCCTGCAATGCTGAACGTTACCCTAATTTGTCTCATGGTTGCTTGATTTCTTATAAACTTATGCAGATGTGGCTTTGCTTTGATGGGGCTGTCTAACTTACGTTATGTAGAAGTGGGGTTCTGATTGCAAATTAGGTTTGGAGTTTCACCTTAGTAATATGGGATGACTTTTAATTCACCTTTTATCACACATATTACCACAGTGAAACTCCAATTCAAATGGGTAACACTAGATAGAGAACCTATGGTACTGTATGTAGGGTCTTTTATCCTTTTTCAACTGGGGATAAGTTAGACAACTCCTTGATTGATGTGTGATTATTTAATAAAAAATGGATATTTTGTATATAGTGATTATTTTTTTATGATTGTGATTCCGATTTGTATATAGTGATTTTCTTTTATTTATATTGTAGAAGTTGGCTGACATGGCTACGCATACACCAAAAAACATCCTCATAACTGGAGCTGCTGGATTCATCGCATCTCATGTTGCCAACCGGCTTATCCGAAATTATCCCCACTACAAAATTGTTGTTCTTGACAAACTTGATTATTGTTCAAATCTGAAGAACCTCATTCCTTCAAAATCATCTCCCAACTTCAAGTTTGTGAAGGGAGATATTGGAAGTGCTGACCTTGTCAACTACCTACTCATTACCGAGTCCATTGACACAATAATGCACTTTGCAGCTCAAACCCATGTTGACAACTCGTTTGGCAACAGCTTTGAGTTCACCAAGAACAACATATATGGTACTCATGTCCTATTAGAGGCCTGCAAGGTAACTGGACAGATCAAGAGGTTCATCCATGTCAGCACTGATGAGGTCTATGGAGAGACAGATGAGGATGCTGTTGTTGGAAACCACGAGGCATCACAGTTACTTCCCACAAATCCTTACTCTGCAACAAAAGCTGGGGCAGAAATGCTTGTCATGGCATATGGCAGGTCATATGGGTTACCTGTGATCACAACACGTGGAAACAATGTTTATGGGCCCAATCAGTTTCCTGAAAAGTTAATTCCAAAGTTCATTCTCCTGGCAATGCAAGGCAAGCCTCTTCCAATCCATGGGGATGGTTCTAATGTAAGGAGTTATTTATATTGTGAAGATGTTGCAGAGGCTTTTGAAGTTATCCTTCACAAGGGAGAGGTTGGACATGTTTACAATATTGGTACCAAGAAAGAAAGGAGAGTTATTGATGTTGCCAAAGATATATGCAGGCTTTTTAAGAAGGACCCAGATGCTAGTATAAAATTTGTGGAGAACAGACCATTTAATGACCAGAGATACTTTCTTGACGATGAAAAGCTGAAGATCTTGGGTTGGTCTGAGAGGACCACTTGGGAAGAGGGCTTGAAGAAAACCATGGACTGGTACATCAACAATCCTGATTGGTGGGGTGATGTCAGTGGTGCATTGCTTCCTCATCCAAGGATGCTGATGATGCCCGGTGGATTGGAGAGACATTTTGATGGATCTGATGAAGAAAAACCTTCATCATATATCTCAACTAATACTCGAATGGTCGTTCCAACATCCAAAAATGTTAGCCCTTCTCCGAAACATTCTCTCAAGTTTTTGATCTATGGTAGAACAGGTTGGATTGGGGGTTTGCTGGGGAAATTGTGTGAAAAGCAAGGGATTCCCTATGAATACGGAAGAGGACGCCTGGAGGATAGATCATCACTTGTGGCTGATATCCAGAATGTGAAGCCTACACACATTTTTAATGCTGCAGGAGTGACTGGAAGACCCAATGTTGATTGGTGTGAATCCCATAAAACAGAAACCATCCGCACCAACGTTGCTGGTACTTTAACATTGGCTGATGTCAGCAGAGAGCATGGACTCTTGATGATAAATTATGCTACTGGGTGCATATTTGAGTATGATGAAGCTCATCCAGAGGGTTCTGGCATTGGCTTTAAGGAGGAAGACAAACCCAATTTCATTGGTTCTTTCTATTCCAAAACTAAGGCTATGGTAAGCTCAGTACATGTTATTGCCTTATCCCCTTTCCATTATGATTATAATTATATCTTCTTATGATTTGGATGTGAATTTTATCAGGTTGAGGAGCTCTTGAAAGAATATGACAATGTGTGCACCCTCAGGGTTCGCATGCCAATTTCATCTGACTTGAGTAATCCACGCAACTTCATCACCAAGATTTCTCGTTATAACAAAGTCGTCAACATTCCAAACAGCATGACCATTTTGGATGAACTTCTGCCTATTTCTATTGAGATGGCGAAGCGAAACTTGAGGGGCATCTGGAACTTCACAAATCCTGGGGCAGTGAGCCACAATGAGATTCTTGAGATGTACAGGGATTACATTGATCCAAGCTTCAAGTGGGTTAACTTCAACCTTGAAGAGCAAGCCAAGGTGATCGTAGCTCCACGGAGCAACAATGAGATGGATGGAACCAAACTGAAGAAAGAGTTCCCTGAGGTTCTTTCCATCAAGGAATCACTGATCAAGTATGTGTTTGAGCCAAACAAGAAAACTGCTTAAAAACATTAAGCAGTTTAGACATCACAGGTTATGCATTTTTGTGGCGGGCTACATAGATTACTCATTATTTCATTGTTATATCATTGGGTTTTGATAAGAAAGAACCATACCGCATAACTAGCCGATGTAGTTCTTGTTCTCTTAGATATAAGTGTTTCCAGTTTCAGCATAGTTGCATCATGTTACTATGTTTAGAGGGTGGCAAGTATTATAATTGTGCCAGATGTGATTCTTAAGTTAACATTCTACCACTTTATTCTAGTTTGTAGTGTCCTCTTTCACGTGCAACTTTAGATAATAGGTTTTTGGTACCTAAATGCTTACTTCATGCAACTTTGCATCTGGAAGACATGTATTCTTTTATTGCTCTTATATTATATCGTTTTTGTGGGGTATGCAGCTGTGCTTGTATGGTATTTGTATGTGTATATTATGCAGTGGAATTGATGCTACTGAGATATATTCATTTAATGTTATCCTGTTAAGACTGAGAATTTGAAAGCATTTTTATTCACAGAAGTAGTAAAGAAATGTTTGGGTTAAAGATTGAGAAATACTTTTACAAATTTTATTGCAAAATTATGAATGCTAACACAAATGAAGAAAGAAAAAATTGTAGCTTTCGGTGGCTCTTTTACCTGCCAATTCATGTTGCTTCCAGTTCTTTCAGGTTTTGCGCGTCTTACACACATCCACTCAAATTTTAACAAGTCATCAATTTCTTTTAGAAAATAATATTTAACATAAAATAATTATTAAAACTTTAAATCCCATAAACTTTTGAACTTCCTAAAAGTTTCTTCTTTATCATTCTTCATCTGCATCATTCTTTTTTCAGAACAACTTGTATCTCCCAGCAACTTAATTTTTATTCTTATCATGTTTTAGATATCAATTTTTCTTTTTAGATTTATGGTGCGCGTTGGCTTATCTAATAATAATCTATGTTTACTTTTTATAACCATTTTTGAGAGTGTAATATCTCAAACATTGAATAGAGGGAAGAAAATTTCAACAGTGATTACAATCGATCAGTGTTTCTTCATTTACTCTTTTTTTTATTAAAAATATAAATTGTTTTGATATATAATATAATATAATTTGTTAAATGTATTTTTTTAAAATGATATAATTTGTATAGAATAAATATATAGCAAAATAAATGTCAACCAGTTTAAATTAATGAGTTTAAGGAATTTTTTATTGGTCAACTTTTATCTATTAAAGATGAAACCAATAATCTCTACTGAGCACATGCTTTTAAAATGGACTTTTTTTCATAAATAATATTATTTTTAAAAATATTTCCCAAAATAGCGATATCCGGAACATTATTTACACAACTAAGACTCTTTCATCGTTCACGTATTAAAATAATCGATTATTTTATATTATGATCGATTATTTCGCACGATGAACTTTCGCTCAAGCGAAGAAAACCTTCGCTTGAACGAGGAAATCTGTAACAAAGGGGTAATCTCGGGTCAATTCTCGCTCAAGCGAAGAAACCCTTCGCTTGAGCGAGGAAATATGTAACAAAGGGGTAATCTCCGGTCAATTCTCGCTCAAGCGACGGGTATTTTCGCTTGAGCGAGAAGTGATTAAAATATGTGGTGACCCAAGTTGCGTTATGTGGCTAACTGCGTTGGACGTTTAGCCTGTGGTCAATTCTCGCTCAAGCGATGAGTTACTTCGCTTCGAGTGAGAATTGATTGGGTAACTGCGTTGGACCAGTGGTCAATTCTCGCTCAAGCGAGACATCCATCGCTTGAGTGAAGAAATTTATAATCGATTATAATTTGAGCTAATCGATCATAGTTTTTAAATAATAGTGGTTCCACATGTTCTATAATAGCGGTTAAAAATATACTTTTAA